TTTTTTTTTTTTTTTTTTTTTTTTTTTTTGTGTATTCGTGATACCGTCATACTTGTTTCTATACATTCGTCCATGAACAGAACAATCCTTCATTTGTTTGGAGGTATGGTTATCAAAGTTGAAAATAAGTAAATTATTAGTACTCGTTTTTAAGTTTAGTTGATGGTTTAGGCGAAATGATTAAACAATACAGTGTATTAATGCGTGATAAACTCAATTAAATGTGAATTTAATGACTTACTTAATTGCGAATCTCATTTAATACAATTTAAACTGATGTTTTATGTAGCATTTTACTAAAACTAAAAATTGAGAAAACGGACCGTTGCACAAATCTAGAAGACAAAAGGGCATGCGGAGTTTCCTTTTTAAACAGCAAAAAATGTAGAGGATAGAACATGCGTGTTCATTGTCGGGTGAGCACCAAGAAATGTCTGTGTATTATAATCTACACTGCATGCCTCCAATTCCAAAGAATCTTCTTCTTCTTCTTCTTTTTTTCCCCTGCCAAACACAACTTTTAATTACTTAATTAACTAAATAATCTTAGTAGTTAAAGTGATATTAAAGGTGCTAATAGGAGTGGCAATGTATTGAGTCTCCCTTTGTCTCGTGGGCTTCGCTTGACTCTTTCTATGAACGATTTAGGCTTGTATTAAAACGATACTTGAGATGAGACGAACTCCATTTTTTTTTAACAAGTTGCCTCGGCCCATAAGGCCCACGAGCCAAAAGATCAATTCGGCTTTACTTAGTCCATTGCCACCTTGTACTAATTATATAATGAACTGTCTATATTTGAAAAGCTAGTCACGAGGAGGAAAAAAAAATCTAAACGTTACCCTATCATTGAATTATAAATAAATTTCGGGTGTAAGGAAAAAAGAGAAGAAGAAGGTTACTCTATCATTGAATTACATAAATTTTGCATACTTGCCGTGTTAAAACATGTTTACCAAGGTGGAAGTGGCTCTTATATAGTATCATTAGTTTCAAGTTTCAATCTATACCAAAATGAAATATGTGATTAAAATTAATTGTTAATATTAATTTCATATTAAAATTTGATTTTGATCTATACCAAAAAGAGCCAGCGTGTTTAACTCCCTCTATGACAAAATAATTTATTTTTAACTATAATTCTCACAATATAATATTTTGCACGTAATTCAAAACCTATTCTCACGTTTTAACCACACGATTTTTAAAAAAAATCATTATTTAAAACATTATTCTTACACAATAATGACCATCAAACTCGAATTTATTATTTCTTGATTTCACGGTTACTACTCGACATTTACAACTGTCAAAACAATTTATAAGACAGTCAGAGTTCAAAGTGTGCAAAGTATAGGTCCTTCACTGCAAATAGAAAAATGACAGGGACATAATCCTAAAGAATCTCATATTTATTTCCCAAGTCAGCAGCCACTCAGAAAGAGAGTGCAAGTCCAAGATGAGTGTTGCAGAACAAAAGTAAAACATATTTCACAGCCTTCCAGCAAAATCCCTCGCCCCAACATTTTTTGTTCTAAAGATTAATATTAGTACTACTTCTCTGTGTTCTTATTCAAAGAACGCCTTGTAAATCCGGAATAAAAGACAAAAAAAAAAAGCAGAGTCTCAGCATCTTGTTCAAAACCCAGATCAAGAATGGCTTCAAATTTGGTTTTCAGGTACTTCATGGCTTTCTTCTTAGTGAATCTTTACTTGAAAGTTGTAGCTGCAGACCTAAACTTGTCATTTTCTTTCAAGAACATTGGTAAAGACTCGGAAGAATTTGAATCACAGATTGCTATGTATGGTGATGCTAGGGTGGCCAATGATAGTATTCAAATTTCTGGTTCAGGGGTTTCTAGTTCTGGGAGGGTCATTTACAAGAAACCTGTTAAGTTGGTTGAAGGAAACCCAATAAATATGTTGTCTTTTTCTATGAATTTTGTGTTTTCCACGTCTAGTGAAAATGGGGATGGGTTGGCCTTTATTATAGTTCCTGCTAGTTTTCCTGTGGATGTTTTTGATGGTGGCTCAATGGGGCTTTTGGGGGAGAGAAAAATGAGGTTTCTTGCTGTTGAATTTGATACTTTTAAAGATGAAAAGTGGGGTGATGTCAACGGTAATCATGTTGGCATTGATATTGATAGTCTCGTGTCTGTTAAAGTGAGCAATGTTTCATCAATCAATTTGGTGCTGAATAATGCTGAAAAATTAGAGGCATGGATCGACTATGAAGCAAATTCTAAACGAATTGAGTTGAGGTTAAGTAAGTTAGGTGTCGTAAGGCCAGTTGAGCCATTTCTTTCTTATCCTATTGACTTGTCACAAATGTGGGGAAAGGAGGATGTTTTAGTGGGATTGAGTTCATCGAGTGGGAATTCATCACAAAAGTGTAACGTGCATTCGTGGAGTTTTAGGTCGAGAACTTTCCCGCATTGGATGCATTCAGAACCAGTGGACCCTGAGTCTTTTGTGGAGAAGGGATCAGAACTAAATGTTCGTAAGAGAAGTGGTTGTACCTTGAGAATCATTGCTGCGTTGATTTTTGGCACCGGATGTGGAGCATTGGGGGCATTAATTGTGTTGTTTGTTTGGACTATCTTTGCAAATAGGCGTCCTGTAGTGCCAGAGGATTATGCTGTGAAGCCAAAGGAATATGCTTTGCAGCCGAAGGTATTTGAGTACAAAAAGTTCAATGTTACTGTAGATAAGACAATGGCTGATTGTAAGTAGGTGATGGTCTTGCAGATTAGTTGGTGCGTCTTTTGTATGTAAATCCCGTTCATTTCCGTACTTGCGTGTTTTGCTTTAGTGTTCTGCTGTAATTTAATGATCAAGCATCCAAATGTAGTTATGCTATATAACCATGTTATGATCATCAAAATACAGCTTCAGATTTGGAACATGG